GAGACCATATGCGAGCAAGGAAATCCATTACCACATTAAAATGCTTTCCAACTATCAGAATCTCTCTTTGGTGTCTGACTCCCCACTGATGTCTTAAATGGTTCATGATGGGACCCAAATGGATCTGCATCATCAAAGGATGAGAAACCATGACCATAATCTGTGTCACGGGTGCTGCCGATAGAATCAAACCTTGATAGTGACTTTTGAGGGGGAAAGAGCCCAAAATTATAATCAGAGTCTGCCGTGCTGCGAAATGAATCAAACCTAGCGAAGGAGTCACGCTGCTGGGACAAACCATTATCATACTCAGAGTCTGTAGTGCTGCGCATCGAATCAAATCTTGAAAACTCACGACTAGCAAAGGGGCCACCATCGTGCGTGTTGAAGGAATCGTATCTGGAAAAGCTGCTCAAGGGCTCCTCAGACATATCACTAGATCTTCGAGGCGTAGAACTAAACATAGGTGTGCTAGGAACCGAGTCAGCGAAGGCAAATGGACTCTTTTGCTGGAACGTGTTATCTGCAAGTGGGGAGCCACCTGCATTATAGGCTGGTGTGCTAGGAACAGAATCAAAGAAAGGACTTTGCCTAGAGAACAAGTTGTCTGCCTGTGGGACTCCGGGGTTGTAACTTGGGGTGCTTGGAACAGAATCAAAGAATAGGCTTTGCTTTGGGAACTGGTTCTCTGAGTAACTAATCCCACTATTGTAACTAGGGGTGCTAGGAACAGAATCGAAAAATGGGGTTTGCTTCGGGAGTGTGATGCTGGAATTTGTGGAGCCCGTTTTTATAGGCTTTAGGCCCCAGTCATCATCATCAAAAAGAGAATCCTGCAATACCGCGGAAAATTAGCAACATAATACGGCCCTTCAAACTAAGCCCATGACAGATGAAATATTTCAAGCACCACAGATAAGCAGAAAATTGTCTAGACCAAAATGCAGTAGACATGCAGTGACAAAACAAAAAGGCATGCAAAGGAAATGCTTAGCCCGAAGAAATGTTGGTGGCCCCGGAAGATGCTTTTCCTATAACCTAGTAATTGAAAAAGCGAAAGAACCAACATCTGACGTATCCATTTACCTTTTTCTTTTCTTTTTTTCTTATAACAAAAATGAAAGAGATGTATCCACTTACCTTAGAAGCAGAATTGAAGTCCCACGCAGCATCTGCATCACGGCCTGTATCAAATGCACCCCAACCAGATTCATCAAAACTTTTGTCCCCAGAGAACACAGACTCAGTTCCCCAGTGTTCACTGCACTAGTAAAGTATACAGAAGTTCAGATTTCTAAGAAAAGTTAACAGTTTAGAGAAGCTGAATCCATCAAAGAATATGATTGAATAATAGAATACGTGTGACATTATTTGGAGAATACAACACCATGAGAGATCAAATCACCAAAAGAGAAGAACAAAAACAACACATTACCTTTGGGCAGCATGGGGTGAACCATCAAAAGTACTGTCCTTCCTATTCAGTGATTCTTCAAATTCTTTTGACGGGCTCTCAACTGCACTACTTCTGGTTGGACTATCAGCTGGACTTCTTGCTGCATGGGCAGTCTCCACATCACTCTCTCTAGCTTTTACTGGGCTTGGTAACTTCTCTGCCTTTGCATCAGTGCCAGCATCGGCAGATGATTTTCCAGTATCATGGTCATTCAAAGAAGATGCTTTCTCCCGAACCAATGGGCATTTTGGTTTAGGAGGGGCAATGACATTTTGTACATCGAGAGTGAGCTCTTTCACAAATGTGAAATCTGAGGACAATTATTCAACAATACAATGGGTGTATCATTTTGGACAACTTGAAAAAATAATAATAATAATAATAATAATAATAATAATAATAATAATAATAATAATAATATTGCTACTACTGTGGGATATTGCTACTAATGTGCTATGCCCTCTGTGAAGCTGAGGATGAAACAAGAGAACACTTATTCTTTGTGTAAATATTCCGAAGAAGTATGGAGCAGTCTACGGATATGGCAGGGAATATCTAGCCAGCCGAAGGAATGGTCTATAGAGCAAAGTTGGGCAGAGACATATGCAAGAGGGAAGAATGGGAGTGTCGAAATATACAGAATTGCTCTAGCTGTTGTGCCTGCTATATGGCAAGAAAGAAATCTCATAATCTTCCAAGACAAAAGGAGAAATGCCGACGTCCTCATCAGGATGATTGTGCAAGATATACATGCTCGGGGGGTTGCAATGTGAAAGTTGCTGGCACAGCTGAAGACATTGAATTGGTATACTTAGTTGTAATGGTGTTGTCCACTGGTGCTGGTTAGAATTCAGAGAATTAAAAGTTGGAGAAATCTGTCAGATAGAACTTATGTGTGATAATCAAGTTGCCCTTCATATTGCGTCAAATTCAGTGTTCCATGAGAGGACCAAACACATTGAGATTGACTATCACTTCATCAGAGAGAAGATACTCTCAGGAGTTATTGTTACAAAGTTTGTGAAGTCTAATGATCAGTTTACAAATATTTTCACCAAGTCCCTCACTAGTCCTCATATTAATTATATAGCTCGGTACATATGATTTATATGCACCGGCTTGAGGGGGAGTGTTAGAAAGCTAGTATATATAGTAGTATGTATAATGTCCCACATTGGTAGAGAAGGGTTTAGTACTGTGTAAACACCCTATGTAAATAGGGCTAATGTAAGACACAAATGTATACAAGAAATTCTTTCTTCTCATGTCTTGAACTCTCACACAAGCTTTAGAGGTTTTTGCTTTGTATGTAAATATTTTCTCCCTGGTAATGAAATCTTACTTACCCACAGAAAGAATTAATAATAATATAAAAAAAAGCACAAAGCAAAGGGAGGAAAAGAAGATGATCCAGTGGTCTCTATAGGCACTATGAAAGTCAGTCTTTTAATCTAAAAATGATAAGCTGATAAGATGGTCTCTGGACCACTTTGGAGGCACTTTGAATGTTTGATTTTAAAATGACTGTAAAACAGCGTACCTTCATCATCAAATTTATCCCACTTTCCATCCCAGTCAGCTGCCCCCTCTTGGATGCCCGGTTGCCAACCTTTACAATTATTACTAATATATCAGAAAGTATTAAAAAATTAAAGCAATGAAAATCAGAGCAGCTTAGGCAAAAAAATACAAGAATCATCAAAATGGCATGTTATCCCATTTTCCAACCAAGGTACAGACCGTTAGATGAACACACACAGCTCTTCGACATCAGAATTAGTCCCAACTCATGATCTAGATGCACATGATTTAAATATAAAGGTATAGGTCTCTTTAGAGAAATTGAAATATATACTCCTTTTAACTTGTATACATGCCACATATTACATTCTCATACTATCAACAGGTGCTTTTTTATTTTATAATCAACAGGCTAGAAAACTATAAAACTGGAAGAAATCCTAATGCAGCCAGCAAGAAATTAATAATGATATCCCCAATAAAGTACTACACTGAACTTGGGTGCCAAAAGGAAGGCTTCGGCTTGAGGCTGAAGCCAACAAAAGTAAAACATAAATGGCACTTTAAAGAACAACTAAACAGCCGGGTAGAACCCAAAGCAAGAGTGAAACTACGAGCTAAAAGCAGGCGTGCCTCTCTTATAAGAGAATATGATACCATCCCCCACTTTTGGCGTACTTGTTTAATGAGCTAAGCCATTTCTCGAGAATACCAATAACTCATATGGGATCAATTCAGAACCAAAAATAACAGGGAATGCAGGAAATAAATTTTCGACAATGTTTTTAATCTGGATTTTATGGTATCAAGAATAAGAACATATAAAATAGCTCAATGAAAGCACATATAATTGCAAGAACTACAAAAAAAATACTAGCGCAAGTACCAAATGGAAGCTCAAGCAGAGTAGTTGGTTTGGCCCGTAGCCCATAAGTTTTGCAGCGTTCGTTCAATGCTTTTACTAGCCCCTCGAGGTCTGCCTGAATCTGATTAGCACGGTCCTACAAAAGCCAGAGTTTAAATCTGAAATGTTCTAGCTATCTCCAGCAAATCTATTAGTGGTAAAATATAGCTACCTGGATACCATCAGTTTTGCCATCTTGATCCATTTTGACAATCGTTCTATAAAGCTCCATTTTTTTCTCCTACAAAAGGTTCAGCAGAATTATACAATATACACTAGACGCTAGCACATCAGTGAATTGGGTTAGGAAGAGCCACAAAAATACCTGAATATCCCGAAATGTGGCCTCCTCAATTGTCAACTTAGAAGCAACATCTCCAGTCTGCTTGTATTTCTCTTCATATTTTTTAGCCAGTAATTCGACCTGTAAAATGGTCAACTTTTATTAGTTAACAAATCATTGGCCGTGTGCTCAAATTTGTTGTGTTCAAAATAAGCTTTACCTCGTTTTTGTCAGCAGAAGTTCTTTCGGTGATCTCATTTAGTCTATTATCGCATCGGCTTTTGTATAGAATCTGATGTAAAAGGCCAAAGAAAAGCAGACAGTTTTAGTGATGTGCTTTCAACTTCAGCTATCCATTGCTGAACACGGCAGCAAGGAAACCCACCGATCAGTTAATAGAAATTCACGGCTTCAGGAAGAACAGCACAAAACCAAGGCTATAAATAAATGTATGACATGATACCCTAGAGCATATAAAGATATAATCACTAATTATTCAGAACTTGGTACGCCATAGCCATAAGACAAAAACTGGTAATTCACGTGGCCTGAATGAAATGGAACACCTTTAAGCTGTTGTATGATATATGAATAATAAAAGACACTAAATAGTAAGTGAATTTCAGGCTCAAAAGTCAAAAGATTAGTTAAGGAGCCAAGTAGAAATAGTGGAACTGTGACCTGCACTCGTAATCTCAGCTGAATCTTATCATCCAAGATCCCGCTGCATTTTATGGTTATGGGTCATAATTCTATATTCGGCCAGATCTAGACACCCATAACTACTTAGTATGTGAAGGTTCCTGCTGTTAGCATGGTGTACCAAAATAGTGCAGCAGTGAAAAACTCAGGAAAAAAAATAGCTAGTCAAGGTGTGCGCAAGCATTAACCTCTTGTTTGTGCTAATCTTAGTGCAAACTTTACCAAGAATCCAAGTGGCCATGCAAAGTCATCAAAAAGATTGAAACTGACTTATTACTAGGATGGACGAAATCGGTTGCATGTAGCTGCTTGTCTGGCACTATTTGGTCACTAATGAGATAACAAGTCAAACAAACTAAACACAATCAGTAGTACACATAAGAAGGAAATTCTACCCTGGGAATAACACCTAATATGTCCCCCAAGGGCGTGGCGGGACCAATTTCAGGATTTATGTCCCAGCTTAGAAACATTGAGAGATCTATTTTTTTTTTTTTTTTAAATAAATTAAACATTGAGAGATATCTGAATAAAACCGAGAAAACCTTAGATACATAATGATCAAGATACTCACTAATTCTTGCATCTTTGCATGGTAGAACTGAATTTTTTCTTTGGCATCTAAAATTTCCTTCTCCAGGTCCATGACCTGTGATTGGCATTATGGCATAAGAGATAAAGGAATAACCGTCAATTACTATTGGTTATTAGGAGTAATCATCAATAAATCAAGCTTTAACTGACAAAAGAACTTAGGCATCAAGTTAGATCAACATCTTTTAAATCAAATACGAAGATTCAGCATTGTTCGTTAACAGCACCAACTTTAACTGGTAAAAAACGAAATTTTATTACCAATGGCTTCAAAGCAGCATTTGCAATTCCACAAAGTCCAGATATTATGAGCATGTGAGAAATATCCAAAAATTTACTGCTTATGCAATTATGACGGACCAGACACCATGTCAGTAGCATATATTTTTCACAATCTGAAGCAAACATAATGCTTTGCCCGCAAGGTCACAGCATTGTTTCTATTCTTCAGTTCCTAAACAGAATTACGCTTGCCTTTCCATACATCAGATACAAAATAAAGTAAATACAACAAATGCCGTAACAAAACACGGAAGAGACCAGACAGTCTCTTGGAAGATTTACCCTGTGGTATATTACACACTTCAACAAGTAAACATTAGATATGATATTTGACAAAATGACCACCACTCTAGTACCTAGTGAAAAAGATCCATCCCAAATACCAGTGTTTCTCTCACTGGTTGTTCATAATTCAGGAAGCAATTATAGAAAAGAAAAGAAAAAAAAAAACAGAAAGGGGGATTTGAGCCAAGTGAAGGAGACTGGAAAAAACATTTGAAAGAACATTTATAGTCGACCTTCTTCTCTGCATCAGTTGCTTCCTGGAACTTCGAGTTCAATGAATCCTGTTCCTCTGTGCTAAGTTGGTCAACCAGATGCTTCTCCAATACTGGAACTTTCGGCTTCTGTTTACTAGGCTGCACAGCTTCATCAGGCTGGGGAATGGGAACTGGACGTGGAGGCTTCCCCGGAGCACCAGAAGCCACTTGGTGTGCCCCCCTTGGCCCCTGTGTTTGCTGGAAACCTAGAGAGGAAGAATGACGAGACTAACTGAATAGATGGAATTCACAAGTGAGATACTCGATATAGATACAACAACAACAACAACAACAAAAAACCCAGTGTAATCCACAAGTGGAGTCTGGGGAAGGTAGTGTGTACATAGACCTTACCCCTACCTTGTGAAGGTAAAGAGGCTGTTTTCAATAGACCCTCGCCTCAAATGAAAAAGAAGCCATAGCAATAAGCAGTAACAATAACAAGATACGAAGATACCTGAGCGAAAGAGACAACATGAAGTAATATAAATCTAAGAATCACAAAATACGAAAATATAGGGCAGCCGGAGCGAAATCAGAGAATACAAGAATAATACTAATACTACTAGTATGAAAAAGAAATACATTTGACTCCCTACCCTAACTCTTGACCTCCACACCCTCCTATCAAGAGTCATGTCCTCGCTAAGCTGGAACTGCACCATGTCCTGTCTAATAACCTCTCCCCAATCCTTCTTTACCCTACCTCTATCTCTACTCAGACCCACAAAGGCCAACTTCTCAGACCCACAAAGGCCAACTTCTCACACCCCCTCGCTAGGGCATCTGTGCCTCTCCTTTTCACATGCCCGAACCTCTTAGCCTCACTTTTTTGCATTTTTTCCTCCACGGGAGTCACTCTCACCTTGTCTCGAATATCTTCATTTCTAACCTTATCTCTCCTGGTATGCCCACACATCCATTTCAACATTCTCATTTCTGCTTCTTTTATTTTCTGGACATGGGATTTCTTGACTGGCCATCACTCAGCTCCATAAAACATAATCGGTCTAACCACCACTCTGTAGAACTTACCTTTTAAGTCTTGGTGGCACATTCTTATCTTCACAAGAAATACCAAATGCCTTATTGATTGACATACTAGTTATCCCACTCTTGTAATTCCTTTAAATTGTATTATCAATTTTTCACCATATAAATGAGTCCGTGAAAATAGTAACTAAGATTTAGCTTCCTTCTCCAACTCAATAACATAGAAAGTGATCTGAAATTCTTACCCCTCTTATAGAATATCACCGGTTTCTATAAAAAGAAATAATCCATCTACCACATTTATCTACTACATTCTCGTTAAGCATTCATCTACTACATTCTCTTTAAAAAATGTAGAGCATTGCTCTAGTACAAATAAAAAATTTCATTGTTAATTTCTGCTTGATTCTATCCACATGCTACAGTACACTAACAAAAAATACATACATGTGTGCCGATCATGTACTTGAATAAGTGGATATGAACACCAAACACAAGGGAATATAAAATCTTATAATTTTCGCACTGTTCAATGGAAGGTCTTATATTAAAAAATCTAAAATTCTAAACCACAACTATGATATTTTTTATAAGCCTAAACCACACTTAGAGATATTAACCATTATTAGATCAAAGAAGAAAAAGTTTTTTGTCAAACTTCAGAAAAAATATTTAGCAACCCATATGAGTAAGTTGTGCCTTTTAGGATTAATATTTTTAATAAAAAGCAAAAACAAAACGTTGAGTAAATCCAAAGAAATGAAAGCAGAGAACATTGATTTGTCTTGCTTCAACAAACTCTAAGATTATTGAAGCTCTTCCATGCACACCAGCACCCCTTCAAATCCACCTTTCTGTTTTAAACTTCTATCTTTTATCTCAAATATATAACAGGTTCTCAGGTAGACATTTGAAAAGGATCTTAGAAAAATGTTCCATGAATGTATTCACAACAACAAAATAATTATGCCTCATTTAAAACTAGTCAGTTCAGCTCGAATCGCACCTCATTTCAAACTAGTCGGTTCGCCTGGGAATCATCAATATTCATTCCACTCCATTTGGACCCGCTTAATTTCAACAATAATTTGTCTCTAGAGGCAAATATGGTTTCTCTAGAAGTTCTCCATATTTTCTATCTACATACAAAACGTTAAACAAACTAGAGAGACTCTTGGCAATCATCGAACATAAGTGTACTTCTAACATGACTAAATCTTAACCTTAACTAATTGGTTATAATGGTATCGCCTAATATGCCTTTTGTTTTTATTGTGTTTTGCTTTCAATTATGTACGACTGTATTTAGAGATTGAAAGGTCTTTTAAAACAACTTCTCTCAATGTAATTTTGATGAATCTTATCCTTTTTAATACCTTCAGATATCGTAATGCCGCATATGTGGCACCAAAAGAATGGTGTATTTTGGAGGTCTACGTCGATGAGTTGTCAAGCGAACAATGTAGAAAAGCACCAGAGGTCTGCAGAGCTTTAAGCACAAAGTGCAATTAAGGCTTAGGGTTTAGCAAAGAGAGGAACTAATGAGAAAAAAAAACATAAATGTATGGGAAGAGAAACTAATCGCTGGATTTAACATGACTAAACCTTAACCTCAGCTAATTGATACAATGGTATCGCCTATATTTCTTTTGCTTCTATTGTATTTAGTTCTTATTTATGTATTTTAAAAGATTGTAGGTCTTTTAAGACAACTTCTCTCAATGTAATTTTATTCCATCTTATCCCCATTTAACACCTTCAATCATCGTAATGTCACAACCAGAGACTAGCATATTTGGAGTTGTACATAGAATAGCCAAGCAAAGGCATAGAAAAGCCCTAAGGTCTACTGAGCTTTAAGCACAAAAAGCAATCAAAATTCACACCACATGTTTTACTGAAGAAAGGAACTAATGAAGAAAAAAGAAAACCATATATGTAATACAAGAAAAACTAATAATAAATGGGAGAAAAGGATTAGGATAGAACAATTGAAAAACTACAATTAAGAGAAATACATGAAGTAAAACATCACGTCAATCAAGTTCAAGAAACATTTAACATCTTTTATTTAGATGTAAAGATGAAGTTTACAGCGATTAGTTTTCTTATGCTAGATTTATAATTTGTTATTCCTAATTACTAAACAGTTCATTCATAATGTATTGTTAACAATTTATCACTCTACCAACAATATTTATTACTTAGTGTTGGTATCGTAATGCCTTAATACAACGATGCCTGCAATATAGCTCCACCCAAGCAAGGCGAATGTGCAGAACCTGATTAGCTAGCTTCAAAACTTAAATGCGAACCTGATTAGCTAGCTTCAAAACTTAAATGCGCCTTAAGCAAACCTCTAAGAATACTGCTATGTATGACATGGTCATACCATCTCAAGTGACCATATTTCGTTTCATCATCTGAGTGCTACTTGTACTTTATATCAGATGTGCTCATTTCATATATTGTTTAATAATGTGTGACTGCACATATATCTTATTATTCACCTTTTACATTTTGTGAATATGTTGGGCCTTAGATGCCTAATGCTCAACTGGCTGGTCACATAACCATTATTTCTTTGATGAAGTCTGGTCTCATAACCATTATGTTCAACTTATCTTTCACTTTTGTAGGTTTTTCCTATCGCATAACACTCCTCCATTCCAGAAATACTGTTTTTGTTCTTTTTTATTTAAATAGTACATAAATCTACAATCAGAAAAAGGATAACATAGTTTGAATAAAGCCCCAAAGTAAAAATACATTCCGCGTCACTAGGACAACAAACAGAATTAAACCTACGGCAAAAAAAGATGGCAACATCAAAAACCAGTACAATCTGTGAAATATGTTTTACTTCGATCTTGTCTCATCTTTCAGTGCTTCGATCTATTGTATAGAAGATTGGATGTCTTTCATAGAGAATCATACCTTTCTGTATATTATCTACTTTTTGGTATACCTCGCTTTCCCATTATCAATAAAATAAAACTTTTTATATAGTTCATTATTTGTAATGTATTGAATCCGCTTGACCGAAGATACAGAAGCGGAAAGATGGCAAAGCGGGTTCATATATTTCAAGAAGGTCGTGATTTCGAATCCCTGCTGCTATTGTTCTGTGGTTATATGTGATTCGTGCGTGAGTTTTACGTCTTTACTCCATCCGTACTAGTTTTTCCTTCCTTTCTATTTCACTTCTTTTTCTTTCTATTTGACTTTGCAAATGTATGTATTTTACTTGTTTTCTTTATTCTCATCCAATAAGAGTCATTTAAAAGTTCATTTTACGTTTTAAGAAATTAAAACTTCGTGATTTTGCTTCTATTTAATAAATTTGTTAAAATATGCAAGTATAATGTTTTTATATTATTTATACTTTATTGATTCAATATTAATTTAGCTTATGTTCAAATTAAATGTTTTGGATTCCATTGGAATCGTTAGCTTATAAGTTCCTTTTCTTTAATAATTTGTGTTAAAATGTTTATAACTCTTTATATTTGTTGTCTTCTTCTCAGTAAATAACAACTTTGCTATTTATAAACAAGAAATAGATTTTTCTTAGAGTTCAATAAAAAATTTAGAATTATTAAATAAAAATTTTTAAGTTTAAAAGGCAGTTGATATTTTTCAAATTTAAATTTAATTAGATAGATAATTACAACTATTTAATTAAAGTTTTATAGTTTTTGTTAAAACAAATTAAAAAATTCAACGTTATTTAATAACTAGCGAGCGCCAACTCCAAGTTCAAAATGGTTTCACCTTGAGTCCGAGTTATGAATAGGGGAAAAGGAATGCACATACATAAATCACATTTGTCGGGCTCAACGACGTCCATATTTTTATTTATCGTCTTTTCAGATTGAACCCGCTTGTATAAAATTCTGGGTCCACGACTGCTCACAAACCATGTCCAAAACATATATGTGCATAGTGTAAAAAGGGTGAAATATACCTGATGTGTGTCTCCAAGCTGTCACACCATGTGTTCCTGTAGGCTGACCAGAAGCAGGCAATAACGACTCGTCAAAGATAAGATTAGCTGGAAGGACTGAAGGAAGAGGGCGACCTTCCCTGTGCCGCTCCATCAGGTAAAGTGCAATGCAGAATTCCCTCAGAGAAAGCATGCTGTCATTGTCTTGATCCGATAAATCCCACACCTGTTTTAAGACCTCTGATAAACCAAAAGCAAACTGCATTAATGTCCCAAAGGACCAAGTAAACACCAGCTTGGCTTTAAGATAGAGACCAAGATATTCTAAGATAATTGTAGGCAAGATTCTCAAAAGAGTAAGAGATATGCTATCACACTCTAAGTAGGTCGTACAAACAATGTTCCAAAGAGCCAAGTGACCAATAGCTTAGCATTGTGACACAGCAAGTACAATGCCTCAAAGCAATTGTAGCGACAAGTCTCAAAGAAGTGAGAATCATATGCTTTACCACTAATTTGCTGTTCCTTTTTTTAACATGGTATGCTCTACCACTACTGTTTACTAACATTGTAAGTTTCTGTTGCAAAAGCTACTAGCTGTTGAACGGAAACTGTAAAGCTAGGAAACCTAAAGTAAAAGCCCCAAGAATGGAACTTCTTTGTTCAGGGAAGAATGTACTGGTGAATTCCATTTTCTGTCCAGTTTATACTCTATACGACGACTTTCTTATTATCATAAAAATTATATTTCATATTTGTTTTTTTAGGATATTACAAGTAATTATGGTAGTCGCAGTAAGTTTCAGATTATTACTCACTTCAATAGCATACATGGTCCAAATGTGTCTTTAGTAATCAATGATCTTTATCAAAAAAATTTCTTATGCTCAATGTTGTTATCCTCAAGTCCCACTTTTTCTCGCAATCCATTTGTAGCTTAATCCAAATTCACCCACTTGTAAGGTGCTCAACAGAGTGAATTACACCTTTTAACAAGCAACAATGCAGTGTCCACAGGACCTACTTTATATACAAAGTAAAACAATTATTTTCTTCTATCTCTAGAAATACGATTGGGACTCAAATTAACTCCTTAATCTCCGTGTCCAGCATGTAAAATTAATGGACAGAGTACTGCTATTATGATGTTAAGATTCTTTATGGCAAGGCAACTTCTACCAATAACTAATCTACAGATGACAACTGGCTCAATCCATCAGTGAGGACTTGTCCGATAACAGGACATTTTGGCATAGGTAGAATGTCTTTTTACTAAACTATTTAGACGTAATGGGGAATCTCTATATCCAAATAGTACACAGTGCCATGGCTCTTTCAAAGTGATAGTTCTAATGGCACCGAGTCCATCCTACTAATACTCCGACCAAAGATCCAGCAGCAAAAATTTGATTCTGGAAATTAAAATTTCTTCCACAAGACAGTGACTACAACTCTTCCAGTGAGATACCGGAGATCCAAACTGTTTTTTCTTTTTGGTGACTGAGAAGTCTCTGAGGGCCAATGGCGCACGGTTTGAAACTCGGTGGATAATGGGGCCGTCATTCTATCCTTCTCCACTTAAACACCAGGCTTTTGTCTGCAGCAGGGTTCAAACCTGTGACGTGCGTCTAACCCACACATCACAAGTTGCGCTCTTACCACTATATCAAAGCCCTGTGGGCTTCCGGCAATCCAAAATTTTCCGACAACTTTTCGACAACCATTTCCTTTTCAATGACTCTTTCTATATAAGCAAACTCAAGTTGGTTTCCCTAAGACAAGTAAAGTGAAGTAAATATCAAGAGAAAGGGAAAAACTAACAAGAGAAGTAAACATAAGTCAGAAAAGGATAGAATTGCACCATTTGCTGAAGTTTTGAGCAGTTTGAATCCAATAAACAGTTCAAGAGGTAGCAAACCTAAGCGCTTACTCTTAGTAACAAGAAGGATCGAACAGAAGGACACGGAATCTAAGAGCTAAATCAGAGAGAGCAAATCGCACCTCGAGGCAGCTTCCAACTTAGAAACAGGCTCCGTGCCTCCGTGCCAGTAATTTTTCCATCCCTGTCTGTGTCCACTGCCATAAATACTTTGCTATACTTCTGATAGTCAGACTGCGTGATCCTTGGCCACGGAAGCTGAGACTGGCCTGGAAGAGAATTTCTAGCTGCACTAGGAATTGCAGCAGAACTTTGCACTTGAAACTGTTGGTTCGGTCTCACAATCAAATGAGCTTGCTGGTGCTGGTGAACCGGTTGCTGAGGAAGTGTAGTCTGCGAATCAACTGAGCTAGCCTTTATAGAAGGTTGGGGCCCTGTAGGTGTTGGGACTGTGGCTGATGAAACTGCAGAAGATATAGTTGGTGTGGAGCTTTGCTTGGGTTGAACTGACGCAACTGAAAAAACATCTCCAAAGAGTGAATCCGATGGAAATCCATTTCCTGCCACTGGAACGGCTTTAGGAACTTTGGCATCAAGCAGGTTACCATGCGACAAAGTTGCATCATTTGATTTTGATAGATCTAGTTGCAGTGATGACGTGGTTGCTTGTTGGGTTTGTTGTGCAGAAGGCGTCAATGCAACAAGACCAAATGCATCCTGACTTCTAGAACTGACACTTGTATTTGGGGCTTGGGAACCAGGACCTGCTTGTGAGCCACCATTCCGACCAGCAGGCAAATCAGTGGAACTGGGAGGGCGAGAAGCTACAACAGTACTTCCAACTAGCATTCCTTGACCAGAAATATTTGGTTGAGATTGGAAACCAGGGCTTGGATTCGAGGGCCGAGGAGGCCTCATGTAATGACTTTGCTGAGCTGGTAAGCCGTGTTGACCCCTAATGCCAAAAGTTTGAGCTGCTGTTGGAGTAGCACCACTAACTGGAGGAACTGCAGCCCCAACCTTATTAGTTGGTTGGGGAACGGGTACAGCTGCAAGGTTTATTTGGGGGGCAGGAATTTTAGCTGAAGCTGGAGTGAATAGTGCAGCCTTCACTATTTCTGGAGTCAACTCTCGCTTTTGTGCCACTGTGACGAGCTTAAGAGCATTATAAAATTCTTGGCGACCAAGGAACCCAGTACGACTTTGATCAGCATAGGTCCATATCTACATAAAGCAAAAGAAAATGTGAAATTTAGTATTAAAAATAACATTAGTACATCGATAGCTCCAGATATCTAACAAGAGTCAGAGAGACTACACAAACTACTTCTTCCCCAACTTGACTATGTTGAACTTGATACCTAGACCTGACTTCTAGCAAGCAGCATATTAATTGCAGAGCTACTTAATACAACACCAGCTAGAATATCGAGACACGGTTCAACAAACACAGGCTGAACCACAAAGCTATTTGTCACTCTTTTTCCTCTGCTCAAGTTTACTAAAACATATTTTACTAACTAGGTCCTGGGTTCACCAGTAAGTCCTGGGCTGACCACTATTATGTATTATTAGAATTGAAACTGAAGGTTTCAAATTATCAAAACATAGCTATGGTTGTGACAGTTCTTGTAAAAAAAATCATCTCACCACTGGAAGAAACTTTCCAGTATCTATTATCCATTATCATAATTGCTCAAGTTCCTGAAAATTAGTTCGGTATAATAACTGCAAAAACTTACTTTTTGCCAAACAACTGAATAACCATATATTCCATCTCAGCGCACCCCCTTATACCTATCATGCGACAAAATTAGCAGCTAAAATGATCTAAAAAATTATACCTAACGTGCTTCAAACAATAGAGCAAGAAAAAAAAAATTGAAGTACGTAGCAATCACGTGAACTTCATGGCTATGTGAAACAGTTCAAACTTAAGCGCATTGAAACAGGACCAGCTTGCCTAATTATGAAAACTTCGTAGCATAACAAAAAGTATATTAATTCTATTTCTTCTTATTAAACGGCAGGTGGCAAAAAAACAAAATGCAGAAATGAAAAAACCTGAGCGAGGACTGGTTGAGGCAAATTGGAGCCTTTGAAAAAGGCAACAGCCTCAGGGCCACTGATCCGACCATCCTGATCGAAATCAGCTCGCCGAAAATAGGCCTCGAATTGATCCATATTCGGCGCAGCCATTAGTAAATTGATATATTGCTTTTACAAATCCTTCCAACTTATTGCGACACTGAATTAGATCTGCGAGTAAAGCAAGCGTTATCGACTCATTTTATGAATGATATAAAAATTCGAAGGGTTTTAGAAGATCCGACGAGTTCGCCGACGGCGACTTGCCGGTGGAATAGCGGCCGGTGGGGGCGGGGGATAGAGAGGATGATGTGGCAAAGTGAGAAAACACAGTGCATCCACCGTGGTAGCTTTTTTGTCTTTTGATCAAAGCTTTGTTTTCATTTTAATGGATGGTGTTCTTCGTCAATTAAATTATTATGCTGGATTCTATTCATTTTAACCCTTTTTTGCCGTAAATATTGAATTTTCTCAAATTTGAATTGAATGATGTAAATACACTGTGCGAAAACAATAATGCCAATTATTTAAAAGTATATGATTGTTATAAAATAAAGACGGTAAAGTAAATAAATTAAAAATAAGTATAAAGGAAGATTGATATTTTTATTGAATTTGAATTCTCCTCTATTTATAGAAGACTACAAGCTTATGTGTAAGCTGCTACTGTAAACTGCTGTGTAAGCTGCTTGTAAGTTGTTACTGTGTAACGCCCAACTGTTTTGAGCATTTGTACTTCGCTCGGTAGATTACGGGCATGAGTAGCTCCGTATAATGTATTATGACTTATGTGAATCATCGGTTTTGATTTTCAGGTTATTCAGAATCGAATTGGAAGAATGAATTTTATTGTTGAAGCTTTAAAGTGGGAGAGGTGACCAAGTTTGACTTTTTTTGTAAATTTGAACCCGGAACGGAGTTTTGATGGTTCTGATAGGTCCATTGGGTGATTTTGGACTTAGAAGCACGTCCGGATTGCGATTTGGAGGTCCGTAGTGGAATTTGGCTTGAAATGGCGAAAGTTGAATTTTTGGAAAGTTTGACCGGGAGTGGACTTTTTGATATCGGATTCGGATTATGATTCCGGGAATTGGAATAGCTTCGTTATGTCATTTGGAACTTGTGTGCGAAATTTGAGGTCAAACGGACGTGATTTGATAGGTTTCGGCATCGGTTGTGGAAGTTCGAAGTTTTAAAGTTCATGATTTCGAGTTGAGATGTGATCCGTCATTTTGATGTTGTTATGTGTGATTTGAGGTCTCGAGTAGGTCTGTATTATGTTATTGGACTTGTTGATATATTCAGACGCGGTCCTGAGTGGCTCAGGTAAATTTCGGACGAGGTTCAGATCATTTCATTATATTTTGGATTTTTGCTAAAGGCTTTTGCGCAGGTGCGATGATCGCAGAAGCGACAGAGGAGTCGCAGAAGCGTGAAGGGGAGCTGGGCGTGAGGATCGCAGGTGCAGGTGCTTGGACGCACCTGCGCAACTGCAGAAGCGGCTTAAAGACTGCAGGTGCGAGGGATTTTGTTGGGTCAGTTGTTTTCGCATAAGCGAAGTTTTTACCGCAGAAACGGTGGTCGCAGATGCGACGAATTGTCCGTAAATGCGGAATCGCTAGGCAGAAGCTATATTATTGAGGGTTTTGGTTCTTTCTTATTTTAGGAGCTATGGAGCTCGGATTGAGGCGATTTTTGAGGCAATTTTTACCAGATGAATTAGGATAAGTGTTCTCTATTCGGTTTTGGTTATATTTCATGAATCTACCTTCATTTTTAGTAATTGGATTGTGAATTTTAAGGAGAAAATTGGGGGGTTTGGCCTAAAGTTTCATAATATGAATTTTTGAGTTTTGAACATCGATTCGAAATCGGATTTGAGTGAAGCTAGTATGGTTGGACTCGTAATTGAATGAGTTGTCAGATTTTGTGAGTTTTGTCGAGTTCTGAGATGTGGGCCCGGATGTGATTTTTGGCCGGTTTTGGGTTTTGATTAAGGATTCGGTCTTTATCATTTGGAATTATTTTCTTGGGCTTTATTTGATGTATTTGAGTTGCTTTTAGCTAGTTTTGAGCCGTCCGGAGGTCGCTACGCGTGTGATGGCATCTTTGGAGCATCGCTTGGCTTGCTCGGCATTGGTATTGGCTCGTTCGAGCTAAGTAACTCTTCTAAACTTAGTGTTGAGGGAATAAAACCCCGCAATATGTGTTATGTGATTGGTATTTAGGTGACGCATATGCTAGGTGACGGGTGTGTGGGCGTGCACCATGTGAACTGGGACTCTGCTACTTCTATGGCACTATTTAGTGGTCCTACTTTGCTGATATCCGTGTTTCTACCATGTGATAAAGTAGTTAAACTCTCAATCATGCTAGATATCATGTTTAGGCATTATGCTCATACTGTTTGGACTCCGAGTGGTCGTTTCTTACTGCCATCTCACTGATTTTATTGATATTTCGTACTCAGTCATATCCATGCATTCATACCATAACTCAGTCTCAGATATTATTTATTGATACATCATATCATTGTTGTCGGGCTAGTTTCATGACATTGTGAGCCCGTGTGTGAGACTGGAGAGATTGATGACTGAGTGAGGCCGAGGGCCTGAGTGAGAATGACATTTTGGGATCGAGCTGCACGCCGCAACATATTATATTGATTACATTTTATGGGATCGGGTTGCACGCCGCATCGATATATTGATTATATTTTATGAGATCGGGCTGCACGCCGCAGCGATATAGCGCTTGGGCTGAAGGAGCCCCTTCGGAGTCTGCACACCCTAGTGAGCGCAATCGACTATATATATGTGGATCGGGCTGCACGTCGCAGCGGGTATTATACAGCACTGAGTGATTGAGTGTGCTGAGCATTGAGCATAATGAGAGAGGATGCGAGACAATGAGATTGAGTACTCTGAGTGTGTGAGTACATGATTCATCTATGAGATACATGGCATTGGCATGCACACATGACATACACGCATAGAGATGTATTTTTTTCTCATGTTGTACAGTATCACGTCATTCATGACTTTTTTTTTACACACATTGATATGTGGGCATAGAGAGGTATTTCACACTTGCTATCTAGAAAGAAAATAAAATATCTTATTTATTGTGGAAAGGATATTTGGAAAAAAATTATAGTTTTCAAGCTTACTCGTATTTTTGACATTTTCGGTAAAGGATTTGGGTTTTCACTAAGATACTTGAAAAGTATGACTATTTTCTGGAACTGTGAATGAGCTGAGCATTTTACTTCTGAGATACATCTCTTATTATTTGTATTATGATGTTATGAACTGTTGTGGAATATTGGTATTGTACCCGACCTTGTGTTAGCTCGTCACTACTTTCAACCTAAGGTTAGGTTTGTTACTTACTGAGTACACGGGGTCGGTTGTACTCATACTATACTTCTGCACCTTGCGTGCAGATGTTGGCTGTTGTTGTTGCTGTGTTCGATGGGAGGTGGATTGAAGATGTACCTGCGTCCCGGTTGTAGTTGCCCCTTGTTCGTGGTAGCTTTAGATCTATAAAACTCTATTTATGTACTTTTCAAACAGACTATGTGTTTATTTCATTTCAGATTTGTAAACTCTATTCTTAGAAGCTCATGATTTGTACTATCAGTCCTTGGAAAATGTATAAAATTCAGTTAATTACTATCGTTTATTTATCTTGTTAATATCATTGAAATTTGATAGTTACTAGTTGGCTTACCTAGAGGGTTGGGTTAGGTGCCATCACCATTGGTGGATTTGGGGTCGTGACAAATTGGTATCAGAGCTCTAGGTTCATAGGTTCTACAAGTCATGGACAAGTGTCTAGTAGAGTCTTGCGGATTGGTATGATGATGTCCATACCTATCTTCGAGAGGCTATAGGACATTTAGGATATACTCCCCATCTTTTTTTCCTTATCGTGCAACGTTGATTCAGCTTGAAGCGTAACTCTTTGAATTCCTTCCACGCATCCGTATGTGCACATGAGCGCTCGGTATCAGCTGTGCAACGACGGCTTATGATTCCATGGTTGAGGTGCGAGATGTGATTTTGGCGTGCTGATGATGGGCCAGTCTAGAGGACTTGAGGCCGGGTTTTGACGGTAGCTTGAGCACGGAGATTTTGGTTGTGTGAGCACGTGCTTTTGGGACTTATATGTCTGTTGGTGTCCCTATTAGTGGGAAATGTGATTGGATGACTATGTGATGAGTATGATGTGATTGCGAGATGTGTTCAGATTGTTCGAATGTGACGGGAAGAGTTTAATTGAGATTTGAGCAGAGTGGATGACTTTCGAGATTCAAGAATTATATGTAGCGATTTGGAATTTTCAAAATTGGTATATGGCTAGAAACTGAGAGTTACATTGGACGGTGTCGAGACTTGTGGCATTTTTATATCATTGTGGATTATGCATTTCAGTATCAAGAAGGCGAATGAAACAGTTTTAGGTTCACATAAGGTCTCTTTAGAGTGGGTGTCGCGGTTGTGGTGCTTTGGGGTACTTAAGAGAGAAGTCAGCGACTTATGTGCCTTAGGGCATTGTGGTTTTATACTAGGGTCTCTTGTGTGGTGAATTTTGGTTAAGGATCATGGTGTCCAAGCAAGGAGAAGTATCAATTTGAAGGTAATTTGGAAAGCACTTGGAGAAATAGGACAATTTAGTAGTAGGTAGGATCAGCACAGTAATGGGTATGATCGGTCATTTGGATCTTATGACGTGGCTAGTCTCTACAGGTATTTCGTGGAAATGCTCTTGGGTTTTGGCAACCTGCGTGGCTGGGTTGAGTTAGAGAAATTCGGTTCAGATAGCTTGGTTATGTGAAAATGGGTTTCGAAGAGTTCTCAATGATTTTTTACCAAGGTTCGAGGGGTATATTTCCTGCTGGCATGAGGAGCATGTGGTGTATGGTGAATTTCTCCCGGATGAAATCAAATGGAAGGTCCTTGGCTAATTGAGTATGTAGTAGCTTGTGTCTCGGAGTGGACTATGAAGTTCTCCTATTTTTCTTATGATGGCATGGTATATACGGTGTGTTATGTGGGATTGCGATTTACGTGAGCAGGATCACAGTTCTATTTTGGAAGGGAAGGTCATAAAATTCGTAGGCAGCATGGACGACTTTAGGTGACTAGGTAAATGATATTACTACTTGGTATGGCTTGATGAGAGTATACATTTCAGAAGGGGCAATGTGTTTTGATGTACGGATACTTCACTGGTACTGTGGCACTCTCATGGTTGATCGATTGTTAATATTCAAATTTTTCTATGTGGAACAGAAGAATTTTAGAAGTATTCCTCGTAGGATGATCGTGTATGAGAGATGTGTTAGACATTCTGGCGGCGGTGGAGTTGGGATAAGCTATGGTGATTCGTGTGTT